TGACGCCCGGAGTTCTGCCGGACCACCACCTGCCTCCTGGAGTTCTGTCGGACCACCACTTGAGGCCCAGACTTCTCCGGACCGCCACCTGAAGCCTAAACTTCTGTCGGACCACCACTTGAGGCCCTGTGCTCCACCAGGCCACTACCTAAGGCCCGGACTTCCACCGAATTGACACTTGAGGCCCCGAGCTCCACCAGGACACCACATGACGCCCAGACTTCTACCAAAGTACCGCCCTCCAACTACGGTCTTTCAGACCCTTGGTCTCCTGCTGACTACGGTTCTTCAGACCTCCGTCGCCTACTATAGTTTTTCTGACCTCCATCAACAGACAACAGTATTTCTGACCCCGGTCTCTTGCCGATTATGGTTCTTATGACCTCCGTTTCCTACTATGGTTCTTCTAACCTCCATCAACAGACAACGGTCTTTCTGACCCCGGTCTCCTGCCGACTATGGTCCTTCTGGCCTCTGTCGTCTACTATGGTCCTTCGAATCTCCATCACATGACAACGATCTTTCCGACCTCCATCCTATCGACTATATTCGTGTCAACCAAATAAACATGTCTATATTTTAACTCATAGCATGTAATGCGCTCTATATGATGTACATTTGTGTCATCAAAGCCAATGCCTTCTCCCAAGGAAGGACCTCATTTGTAATCGACTGCAAATACTAGTGGATTCATTCAAACTGGGCCAGGCCCCGTGGTTTTTCCCCCTTTTTAGGGGTTTCCACATAAAAAACTATGGTGTCTCTTATGAACGCTACACCCTCTCACTTATCTGATTGTGTGTTGGATCTTCGTACTATGTTAAGACGTTAAACTATATATTTCTCTACCGCCGTGAATACTCCAGGACGCAACAATATTGAAGATCATTGGAAGATATTTAAGAGTAATTTGAAATCACTAATTTGTGCCCTCACTAATAAAATTTTTGGCTACGCCCTTGTCAACAAATCACTTGAAAATTCAATTGTCAATTCTTTTCTCCAAAAAAATAGTCTACCATTCATCTAATTATGATATACTTTAATATTCATATTTATGCCAGTGATATATATCAATATATTTTAATATTCATATTTATGATAGTGATATATATATATATATATATATTAAGTTCAACTTCATTTTAAATCTAATTTTGACAAAGTTATAGTTTAATTAAATGTCCTTCAAGATAAACCCAACATCATCAAAATTGATTTAATTTGAGTTCAAATGAACCAAATTCAAGCTCTTGAAATATATTTGAAAACTTCATAGTATTAACTAAATGACCAGATGATCTTTGAATTTTGCATGCTTATCCACAAAGCCTAATATCATTTGTTTGTGAGTTTGTTAAGGCACTTAAATGCTAAATAAATGATATATGATCGAAGTATTCATGCAATATGGGCTGTGTGATTGAGAATGATAGAACTTTGACTAAATTTATCAAAATATCACTCTCTAAATGATATAAATTAACCCTCAGTCTATATATAAAATATAGACTTGGGATTGAAAAGAGCTTTGAGATCTAAAACACTTGAAAATCAATCCAACATTCAATGTTGATCATCATCACCAACCACCGTCATTGTTTGATTGTTGTTGCCCGACTGTCACAACATGACCACAACCACCCAACTGTAGTAGTACTCATTTCCTCATCATCTAACTACTCTCATCTGATCGTTATCATTTAACGGTTTACTAAAATTTCATTTGGGAAGAATTTTTTATTGTTTCTTAAAATAGCTTTTTAATACAAAAATTTAATTTTTAGACTAAAAAGTTACTTTTAAAAATAATAATAAAATAGTTACAAAAAATACGCCTAACATCACCATGTATTATTGGTAAGTGAGTCGAGCCGGCTCGAGCTCGCAAGCTGAGCTTATCGAGTTTCGAGCTCAAGCTCGAGCAGAACTTTGAGCTCGTTGGATTATTGACCTCGGGTGATGCTCAACTCGATTACATGTCGAGCAGCTCGTATAAAGGTGGAAGGTGGTGCAAACGCGCATCTCCACGTGCTAACCGCAGAAGGTGAACCTCTCCTTCATTTGCAAACCACACCTTCACGTGCAAACCGCAAAAGGCAGACTAACAAATTTTGCTAGCGAGCTCATTTTCAGTTACATGAACCGAACTGGAGCTCGGGATTTTGCTCGCGAGTTAGAGTTCAAACTAGGCCTGACTCGAGTTCAACTCAACTCGTTTGCCTGTTGTCATCAGATGGTCATTATTTAACTACCATTATTCAACTACTATTGCCCAACTGACATCATCCAACTATTCTAATTCTAGCATACAAACATATACATAATTAACGAATTTATTTTGTGCAATTAAATCACTGAAATTTATCTTATACGCATAGTATAACTCAATAATAACACATCGTTATCCAACGAAGTCAAAGTATTTATAATGCTGCCAATTTTCTTGTTGAGGAAAGCCACTCGAAATTTTATATATGTCTCTCTTTTGGCTATATTAATTACATATTTCTCATTATTTTTTAAAAAAATTGCTTTTTATAATACTTATTATAGCTTTCAAAAAATTTATTTTTCTCACAACAGTTTTTCATTCATCTTTACAAAACAAAACAGTGCAGTTATCTCAAATAGGCCTTAATCTAATAAAGATTAATGATAAATCAATGCATTAACAGTAATATAATGATTAATGATGAACTAATATGTAAAAAGAAATGAAAAATAAATTTCATCAACTAATAATGGAACAATTAACTATTGTTCCATTCTTATTTTGGAAATCAAAATTTATGTTTCATGATGTTGCATTGTTTGAACATAGTTAACTTCAAAATACACTAATTGTCATATCAAAGTGTAATTCGTCTTCAACCGAACTCCATTTCTAAGACCAAAAAATATATATATATTCCATTTTCTCATCTTCATTTTCGTCAAAAAATAGGTTTTGTGAATAGTGCGACATCAGTATGAATCTCTGTTTCTCAAAAGACCAACATATACACATCTCAAAACTTTTGGATGTCTCTGCCATCCATGGCTTCGTCCTTGCACCAAATCAAAACTTGGTTCTTTATCTAAACCATGTGTATTTATTGGATAAGCGTCCTCTCAAAAAGGATATCACTATCTTGATCCTCTTACAAACAAAATTTACACTTCTCGCCATGTAATATTTAATGAGCAAGTTTACCCTTTTCAACAAATGCAACAGCTCGCTAGTTCATCCCAAGAAACTAGCTACTTTAAGAAACAGTAAAAAAACGGTCCCAAACGAAGCCTACGTGTTTGCTGTGGCACAATTGAAAATGGTTTTTGCTTATACAACTTATTTAAAGGAAGAACAAATGAAAGCCTAATTTGTTCTGTAGCAAGTCCAGTGAGAAAACATAAAAAAGCAATTATTCTACAATTATACAGATCATCAACATGTTTGCATGAAATAGCATCTTTCCCATTAGAACCTGTACTAAAAAGTATCTGCCCTGCCTCCAGAACATAAAGGCAAAACATAAAGCAGTCAAAATCACATTCGCAGAAGAGTATTAAAAAAAAACAGTAATTCTTAATATGAAGAATTTATATCATTAAGAAATTTTGCATTTCCTTATCAAATATAGAATGCTTTGATTGATTCGCATTTAGATATAACAATCCTTCTCTAAATGTGGAAAGGTTGTTTCTGATTATACATATTCAACCGCATAATGCAAATTCAGCACCACCAAAGCTACTGCCTTCACTGAATCACTACTTCAAGCAGAACCACCTATCAGATTACGGGTATCAAGTTATTATGGACAGATTTAGGCTTCGTTTGGGAAAAAATTATTCTGTGCGGAAGCCGAATCCCGTCCGGATAACTAATCCTGCGGCTCGGTACCGCGGTACCGGGGCTTGTTACTGCTTGGTACTACGGCTCGGTATCGCTTATGTAGCTCATTTTGGTTGGTATCCGGATGTAGAGCTTCGTTCGGCATCCGCACAGAATAATATCTCTCGTTTGGGACAGCTTTTTTACTCCTTTCTAAAGCAACTTCATAGTAAAAAAAAAAAATTTGAACTAAAAATTTTTGTACTAAAAAGCTGCTTTATAAAGCATTAAGAAAGCCTCCCCCAGCAATTTTCTAAAAAGCTTCAATCCGCCCAAACAAAGCTTTATTCTATTTTCAACGGTCTAATTAAAATGAGATAGAAATTGTAAAAATAAACATTAATGGTGGCTTTATCTGACCTTCTCATGTAGCCTTCGACTTTGCAAGAGCAGGAAGTAGCTGAACCAAAGGCGTACAAGAATGTAAAAATAAAAGAAAACGAAGTACTACATTTACAAGAAAAAAAAAAACGAACTAAAGAAAGAAAGATTAAGCTGCCTACCTGATAACAAGAAATGAGGGAGGTAATGAAACCAAAGCTTCCAGTAACACGAGGAGTAACCTTCTTGGGAGCCAGTTGAAGCAGCCCAACAGCAACCACTATATCCATAGATGATTTGATCAAAGACAGAAGCCTCTCATTTGACTGCTTGACCTTTACCAGGTATTGTGGATTCTGAAATTCACCATGGCCAAAAGCATTTAATAGTTTTATTATATAAACAAGCAGACATGTATTAGATATCACTAAAATTGACATTTCATACTCCATGTTTATCTTCTCCTTTCAGCTCCTTCTCTAACCTTTTCATGGAGTTATATAATCTCACAAGCTCTGCTAGCTGTAGTAAAGGAATTTAAACGTTTAATGTAAGAAAACAATAGATTATATGCACTAGAAACAAGCAAATCAATCTTGGATCACAAATGATGTTTAAATCTTTCATGTTTAAAAAGAAAAATAAACTTTAAATTTAAAAAAAAAAAAAACGAGGCTCGAACCTCGACTAGAGTACTGCAAGCTGAAGAACCCATCCAGCAGAACAGGGATATCCTACCAATCAGTTCTGCGCGTTCTTTGTTCTGGAAAATTAAAGGAAGAAAATCAATTATTCATCCAATTTTAAGGTTTCGTTTGGGACGATTTGCTTTTTTATTATTGAACCAGCTTTCTAGTACAAAAATTTTTTTTTACTAGAAAGCTGGTTCAAGAATCAGAAAGAAAGTGGTCCCAAACAAATCCTAAATCACCAAATACTCATTTGGGGTAAAGCTTTAGAAGGAAATTTGAACCTTGTATATCCCAGTTCTTCCAGCCCAGACAATTTGATCCAGGAATAAGAAAGTTGATAGTAGAGCATTTTTAGACTGCAAGATGCCCGGTGAATTTTAAACAGACAGATTCAATAGCCCATAGATATAAATAATGTTTGAAAAAAAAAAGAGAAAAAACCAGGTACCTTTCCAACTAATATGAGAGGAAGAGGGGTCCCTTGAGCAGGAGGACTTATCAGAGCATGCAAATCATTCACAAACTGCACGTCCGCCAGATAAAAATCATTGTGCTCAAGCAGAAGAATAAAAACAGTTGATAATTTCTGAGAAACAAAAACCTCACCTTGAAAAGTCGAAAAACTTTCCTTGCTAAGCTAGTTGATTTGTCAACATTCTGTGCAGTGCCTGCCTGTCCATTGCTCAAAAATTTTGACCCATACTGAATAGCCCTGCAAATCTTATCCCTAGCCTCGGCTTTGTTGAGGTACAATACCAACAAAGCAAGCTCCGCTCTTGTTGCATCTAATGAACTCATTTCCTATCGCAAGAACACCTATTTAAATGTAAAGAAAAAAATAAAAAAAACAGAGTTAATTAGTAAATCAGGAAATAGAAAGTAGGATTCTCCTTATAAGACCTTACAATCTTTTGTAATTTTTTTAGCTCTTGTTGCATCTAATTTTTCAGTTCGTATATGTAATTCAGGGCACAATGGAGAAAAATGATTCATGTAGCCGACCCCACGTAGTGGGACAAAAGCTTGATGTTGTTGTCGTTGTTGTAGTATATGTGAATTAAAAGCAAGCCTTTTCAAGTAATTAGCTGATCCTTCACCTAAAGTATACGTTCGTAATTGCAAGTTTAAATGCTTCTATGAAATCAAACATTACTTTCTCCAATCACATATTATACTCATTGTTAAAAATAAAATGGTAAAATATTGACCAGTATTAGAAGAAGAAGCTATAGAGTAATCAAAGAAATTAATTTAGCAGAAGTACAACAAGGATTATCAATAAGTTCATATGAATTTCTTATTAGTTAAAGGAATGCTTATGAAGGACTTTTAAAATGAGGTGCCTATATGTATGTTTTTTGAAAATGATATTATTATAATAAGAAAACGATTGAAATAAATGAAAAGTTAGAACAATTAACAAAATATTTAGAAAAAAGCTTAAGATTAGTAAAATAAAAATAAAATATATTATGTGCAATTTAAGTGGGTATGATTTTAGTAATTATTAGTCATTATAACTAGAAAATAAAATGATAGCTTTAAAAACCTTGGATCAATTACACCGAAGAATTTACATATATATGTGAATTCTCTAAAGTTACGGATGGTGGCAAAATTGTATTGGTAGCCAAGTTGAGCATGACAGATATGAAGATGTGGATGGATATGTTGCAAAACTATAAAGAAAAGGTTAATAAATTATCATAGAGGCAACATGAGTAGCATATTTTGAAGATAAAATAATTGAAAATATACTTAACTAGTTTGGACGTGTGCAATTAAAATAAGAACAACATTCATAAATTGTTAAATTAACATTGAAGGGTTATGAAGGAAAACAGTAGACCAAAAGTAGCATAAAAAGCTTTAAAAAAATCATTGAATTGATTTAAAACCGACTGCACCACTCAAAATAGACCCCAAAATAATTATGATAAGGCTAAAAATGTGATGATGATCTCATTCTCAACATGAATCCCCTTAGAACTCAACTTTTTAGAATTTATTAGAATTTGTAAGCTAATTTTGCTAGAATAATCATAGTCGCTTCTTCGGATATACACCATAGCAATCCACCCATTTCTTTCTAAAATTGACTTTAAAATTCTCATTAATACTAACAAAAAACATAAACACAAACTATCATCATAATACTAAAAAATTATTTAATTAATATCAATCTTCATATTATTATTCCTGTTCATCTCAATGCTATTATCTTCAACCCTTTATACTATACAATTCCTACTCCAAATATTTTCTTAACCTCTCCAAAGTGTAATATTCAGCAACCTCCATAATATCTTCGGATATCTCTACATTCCATTAAGTTTCTTGCATAAATATGATATATTAGTGATAAGTATATTAAATTAATAAATCATTGAATGTGTGCAAAAATTTAAAAAAAAAAGTTAATATACGAAAGATAGTACGGATAGAAGGTGTGCAAAAATAAATCATTGAATGAATAATACTATATGCAGCAGTTGATATGGCATCTTATATCAAAGTGTATCTTCTTTTATACATGCTAGCTCAGTTCAACGTCAGTTGAATTGTCTAATCTGCAACAGGAAATATAGGGCATTTCAAACAGAAAAAGTTAGTTTAAATGTGATAAATAAATATTTAACTTAGGATTTTATTATGCGATGTGTATGGTACATATGTGTATCATACCATACGATGTGTATCGTAATGTATCATATCATACTATACAATGCATGGTGTAGTATAAGATGTGCCTTTTTAATTAAATTAATAGAACCAATTTGCATTAATTATGATTTTTTAACTTTAGAATAATCATATTGTATGATTTATATTATATTATGTGCTCAGTTCGATGCAACTGTAGACCCCGCCCCCCTTTGCTCAGTGGAATTTCAAGACAAGCGAGCCTTATCGAGCCTACTAATAAACAATTACCAAGAGCATACATGTGAGCATATCTAAAGAATATTTTTTACCTACCAAACGAGCCCGTTCACGAATATATCTAGTGAGTGTTTTCGAGCTACTAAACGAGCTTCTTCACAAGCAAATGAGCTCATAAAATGATTCTTCATATAAACTAGCTAGTTGAAGAGCACTTAAAAAATATATATAGCAAACATGAACAAATACCTCTTGTTCATAAACAAATTCATTCTATTTTATAAAATAAGAATCATTTATTATAATAAAACTAAAAATTATCTGAAAATATACAAAATAAAGATTTAATCAAACTTCTTAATGAGTTTTATATCGAGCTTGTTCACGAGCTTTAATTGATATTGCTCATGAATATAAACGAGTCAAACGCATAGGTTTTCAAGTTTGTTTATTTAACAATTGAATATTTTTGAAAAACTGGTCAAAATTGTTTGATTAATGAAACAAATGATCATGAAAGAGTTGTAACGAGCCAAGCCACAAGCAGCTTGTTAAACGCCCGGTTTATTTGCATCCCTACTATAACACATCATCATTATTAATAATCTCTGTTTGCAAATTACTGCACTATATCAATCTAATTCAGCTAAATACTTTTTGAAAACTTCATTTATGGCCTCCTACTCCATCCAAGACCTTTCACATTGGTTTTATCTCCTTGCCTTACCAATATTTATGTACTCATTTAAACTGAAAAATCAACTCTATCTATGGTCTATAAAACTATCTGGTCCCTGATAGATCTTAACAACGAACTTCTAAAAGTGTAGGATTAAAAAAATGTCCCCACCTATGATCCACAAACATATCCTTGTATTCACTTAACCATTTGTCCTTACATGTTTTTACTACACGAACAGCTAGTTTCTTCATTCTTTGCTAATCAACTTGATAAAAAAATCATTTAACATGCAACATGACCAACCTTTGAAATACAAACTGCTTCATTCTTCATCTTTAACATAAAGCATCTGATAAAACTAATTATCAAGTTGCCATTACTAGCAAAGAAAAAAAAATGAAATTGTTGTTGTTATTATCAGCCAACAAATCAAGTTTCCACAGCTTCCTATGGTATATAATGTTGCTGACTCTTTGACAGCTCTGTCTACAGCTCCTGTACAAGATAACTAAACCAACCAATTCTTGTCTATAGTCATCACGGGATATACATATACTGAAATCCCTACTGATGCTCTACTGATCAACTCTGCACACTAATAGCAATTCCAGTTCCTCAAAAAAAAAAATCAAGAAATGGCGAGCTATATGATTATATTACCATTGACCCAATTCCAGTTCCTCAAAATCCAGGAAATGTCAATTCTCTCAAAAATGACAAGATGGATCAAACTATCGAACCAGAAGGATAAGATCTTATTTTTGGGGAATGTTTTTCTGGTAGAGATTTTACCCTTGAGATTTTTCTTCCCACTCAGGTGCCCTTTTCCCCATTTTGTTCAACTTACTAAGCTTGTGAATTCAGATTCTTATTGTTTATATATAGAGATGTGCAAACAAGTCCTGTATTAATTATATGCCAGCTAGAAGGAAATCAAATAAGAACGATCTTTTTGAGACATTCGCTTCTAAAAGGATATTTCCACTAAAAAAAGAAATGATGTTGTGATAAGATATATGTCAAAATGTTAGAATTTATTAGGTTTTCGGCTTAGGATTATTATAACTACGATAACTCTGACTGAAATATAGATTATAGTTATGAATGATGCTACAATATTTGTTGTTAGCCACCACCAAGCTCCATGTTCTAGTCCATTTCACTTTCATTTGATGTAATTGATGTAGTTTCTTATACCTGACAACTATTTTTTTATAACTTTTACTTTTTGTATTCCTACCATGTAAGAAGAAGCAGCATCAGCATTTGGTGTTCATCTCCTATAATCAATGGATCTTTTCTATTGTCGAGAAAAAAACAACTCATCACCATTTTTAAAATTTTCATATTTAGGCCTCTCTTTTTTAATCATGCAATAAGCGACCTAACCAAACAACCCTAAATTTTAGAATGCGAGGTCAAATCAAGGCTACTCAATAACATGACCAGTGGGAACACGTTGTGGGTGTTAACTAATCCAGCTGAAAAAAATCTTGGAAGTTATCGCCAAGTTATTGGGCTCAAACCTTGCTTCTTATAACAAATCGCACCTTGCGAACTTAAGTTTCATTTGGGGGTGTCTTACTGCTTTAGCTTTCTAGTTCAAAAATTAAAAAGTTTATACTTAAAAGTTGTTTTATGAAGTAGTAACAAAGCCGTCCCAAAGGAAGCCTTAAGATGGGAAAAAAAACAAGACCGATGGTAACAGACTCAATAATATAATATCTCAACAAAAAGAAAGACAATATCAAGTCTAATTATTGCCCGCTTCTTACCGAACCATTTCAGGAAAAAAATTGTAAGAGCACCTTGTTTAGTTGGAAGTGCACTTCTGCGCCAGCATACTTTTATGCTTTCTGAATTACCCTCTTAATATTACACATCGTGGCAATAAAATGGCAGTAATTAATTTCACAGTAATAGAGGGTATGCACCAATACCCACTAAGTAGACTACATGGAAAGACAGCCATTGTCTACACACTGTGCCACAGCAACCAAAACACTACGCAGCCCCTTCAATCTCCCCAACTCAACGTTCTTAAAGCTTCCTGCTTCATTCAATGCCCAAGTTAAGCATCAACAGTGCTCATTAATTACAGGTGCACTCACAACATTAGTCCCACCACCAAAAGAAATCCGCTCAATTTAACAAAATCAGCTTCATCAACGCAATCACAAACAAGTCGATCCGCTGTGCAGAACACAGTTATTCGAATCAAACGACAATTACCCATCCATTCGAATCAAACGACAATTACCCATCCATACAAAAAATAAGATCCCTCGATCAAGAAAACAAAAGAATATCACCGTTGGCATGACATCAAATCGACTATAAAAAAGCTGCGGAGCGCAAAGTGATTTGAAAAAAGAATAAAAAACTAAACGGTAAGATTGCAGGTCGTAAAGGGAGAACAGATCCGTGACAGAAAGCATAATACCAGAGAAAAAAGGAAATGTACGCTTTGCTAGGGCTCGCTGAGAAGCACGCGAGACGATGAAAAGAGAGAAGACGAATTGGGGAGGGCTAATTGGAGAATGATTCGGCGCTGCGGCACCTTAATTTAATCTGATCTGATTGGGAATTGGGATCGAGTGGATGATGTTCGTAGACTGGGGATGTGGATTTTGTGATTTGTGATTTCTGCTATTGTTTTTCGTGGGGGCGGAGGCTTAGGCGTTGGAGAGAGAAACAAGCCGGTAAACGTCACAGAGTGCAGCGATCTGTTGGATCACGTAACTCGTATAATGCCTCCCTAAGATTCGTGCCAATTCCCTGCATATAAAATTCCTCAACCATTGGATTTACATTTTCCTTTTAAGAATACTCTCTACTTGGTTATTCAAGTGTCACCACTAACACATCACGTCTAATGGAACTTAGAAGCAGCAGTTTGATTTGCTGAAATGGATGCATGCACATGTATTTGCTGAAATGGATGCATGCACATGCAGGAGATATGAAAATTTTCTTTTTTATTTGAAGAAAAAAATAATATAAAGTAAAATCTTTTTGTTTATATTTTCATTTCATAATTTAATTTTGATTTATCATAAACTCAATAGTTTTTTTTATAATACTTTTTTTTTTTCATTGCAAGCTAACTTCATTGTTCCCACTAGTCAATACCCTAAGCTACCATCCCCCCTACCATTGGTCGTCGATTACCATCAGTTTTAAGCTTTACACTATATTCATTTTGCTTCAAGTCAAATAAAAAAAAATTATACTTTAACACTTATCTAAACAACTCCAAACATTTCAAATACATTTAATTCATTTTTATAAGGAAACCAAAAGCGTCTCATTTGATTCCAATATGATGGAGCTTCACCTATTTGATTAACATCGTTCACCAATTTCTGATATGGACATCAGCAAGAGATTATGGAATGTTTATCGCCGAAAGCATCGTAGATCGACGGCTACGATTAGAAGTTTTTTATTTTTTATATATGTTTAGTATTAGTTGTTTTATTTGAGTTTAACCGTTTATACCCTTATTTATTATGTGTTGTGAGTTGTAGCCCTGAGGGCATTCCCGTCTTTTTTCTTTGTAGTTGTTTGGAGACCTGTATATAAGGTCTTAGCCTTTGTATTAGGATTATTGATGAATGAAATAAATTTTTTTGATTTCTCGCTTGAGTTTGTGGGTTCTTGAGTGGGTAAGTCCTTAGGTGTGGACAAAAGCAATACCCACCAATCGTCGAAAGTGTCCGGGGCTCGTGGTCCAAATCGACTTCATTGCTCCAAACTGCCGACCTCGTCCCCTTGCCCTAGCCAACGGCTTCCTCCCTCCTCCCCCACTTCCCACACCGGCTGTAAAATCCTTAAAAAGCTGATTTTCACTATGGATGCCTGGGGCGTCACACCGGCAAACCCAACCTCCCTACCCGACGGCTACCCAAAGCTCCCCCTCACCTCCTAGCCACCAAGTAATCCTTCCCCACCACCGGCCACTCCCACTTCCAAGCATGCCGCCGGCCCAATCCAACTGACTTGATGATGATTTCCATCATCATAATAACCTCCTTGATTTAGCTGATATAATTTTGAAAGAAGTTTTAAATTTTGAATTTCAAAAACTTTCCTAAATTGTCAATTCTAAATTAGGAAAGTTCATAAAGTTAAGCCGATTTAAATCTAATTGGATTTGGATTTCTTTACATCCTTCCAAAAGTGGAGTAACGAATTTGAAGCTTAATTTTTTCCTCTCAATTCCAACATCCCCCCCCCCCCTTCCCCCCCCCCCCCGCCCTCTTGGTTAGCCTTGGGACAATCTAAATTAGGAAAGTCCCTAAAGTTAAGCCCGATTTAAATCTAATTGGATTTGGATTTCTTTACATCCTTCCAAAAGTGGAGTAACGAATTTGAAGCTTAATTTTTCCCTATCAATTCCAACATCACCACCACTATGCAATTCCCCTTCTATCTCCACTTTAACCCACCCAAGCTTTGGATTTGAAATTCAAATTCAAATTCATATTTATTTCCCTCCCATCCATTAATTCTAAATATGAAATTGATTTCAGATTTATTCTCCTTCTCCTCCTACATAAACCCTAACCCTATATTGGCCAAGAAGCTCCCTCTTCCTCTTTGGCCGACCCCTCCCTCTCTCATCTCTTGGGTTTTCTCTTCTCGTGATTGGTATCTCTAAGAGGAAAAGAGCATACAACCTTCCAACCGGACGTTGACGAATCACTGGTCGTCCTCACACAACTCCTCCGATGAACTTTTGTTGAAGTAACCATAGGTGCTTCACAACTTTGGTGGCATCGTTCGGTTTGTTGAGACTATCTTTTCGCTAGCCCCTACTAAAGAACGCGAGTGAGGAAAACTCAAAGGTGACTTTTCTAATTGTTAATTGTGGGATTTCTTATTTATAGTATTTAAGCTTATCTTTATGAATGAAATTGTTTTTCAAGAGAATGCTACTCTACCTTGTAACTAATTGCCCTTATATTATTGATATTCTTAAGTTAAAGCATCCAATCTTATGAAACATTAATTTATATTACAACGCTTAATCAGTTTTCTTTATAATCTCTAATGCAATTTCTAGTGATTTCAAATCAATTTATCTCTCTCTCTCTCTCTCTCTCTCTCTCTCTCTCTCTCTCTCTTTTTTTTTTCATTGCAAGCTAACTTCATTGTTCCCACTAGCCAATACCCTAAGCTACCATCCCCCCTACCATTGGTCGTCGATTACCATCAGTTTTAAGCTTTACACTATATTCATTTTGCTTCAAGTCAAAAAAAAAATTATACTTATACACTTATCTAAATAACTCCAAACATTTCAAATACATTTAATTCATTTTACACTGTATTACATTTTACTCTGCACCTTTTTATAAGGAAACCAAAAGTATCTCATTTGATTCCAATATGATGGAGCTTCACCTATTTGATCAACATGCTTCACCAAATTCTCTCTCTTATCTCTCTCTCTCTCTCTCTCTCTCTCTCTCTCTCTCTCTCTCTCTCTCTTTTTCTCAAAACCATGAATAAGAAAGTTATATCCAATTGATATTAGTTCATTCAGAGTTAGATGAAATAGAGTGGGCTTCTCTGATTTTTTTACAAGTTCTAATCCATTTCACACACTCTCTCCACCCTCACTTTTTGGGGTTGCCATTGCTGAACATTGATACGTTACCAAAAATTGACTTCATCCCGCATGAATCTTGGGTATATTCAAGTTGAAAATTTCCAAAATTTAATTCGGGATTGTCTGAACTCCAATTTCAGCAAATTTATACTCAAACTGAACGTCTCAAAGAAACGAACCCAACGACACTAAAGTCAATCCAATCTGAGCCCAAATAGGTCCAAATTGTGGGCCTGAAGCACATTTGGAATATTCAAAGCCTAAATTAGAAGACCAAATAATATTCAAACATGACATGCTTATAGCCAAATCGAGTGGCTCGGCGAGATGAATCCAATTAACGAGTCCAATATCGTTGAATTTTGAAACACTTAAGGCACTTAAACAATAAAAAATGCTATATAATATGGGGAATCAACACAAGCGCTCCGATGGAGCACTCCAAACGTACCCCGGATCTTCTCTATATTTATGGGGTGTGCCACTCATGAAAATATATAAATAGATGCACACTCTCTACGTGATGTGGGACCTTTTGGCTAAAGATTAGAGAGAGTTTTGAAGCTTCAAGAGCTCCATCACCACCGCCAACGAACTTTCATCGCCCGTGTGACTATTGGCCACCACCGGACTTCCGCTTGGTTGTCGATCGCCAATGGACTTCCACTCAACCATCATCGGACCACCGCCCGACCGTTAATTGCTGTCGGACTACAAACAGGCTATCGTCCACTGTCAGACTTTTACCCGACCACCTCCATACTTCCCCATGGCTATCAGCCGTTATCTGACTACCGACATCTGCCACCTACTGACGACAATCCCTTCGACCTCCATCGCTCGTAGACCTCGCTCCCTCCGACCACTGTCTCACACCGACCACGCTCCCTTCGACTACCGTCTCCCGTCGATTACAGTCCCTCTGACCTTCGTGCTTGTCAACTACGTTCCCTCCGACCACCGTCGACTACATACTAGGAGCCCTCCGACCACCTTCGCCCACCGATTACGGTCTGTTCGACCAACGTCACCCGAATAATATAGTCCCTCAGACCTCCGTCGCCTTCCAACTACAGTCGCCCCCGACCACCGTCGCTCACCAATGAGGTTTCCTTCGACCACCATTGCCCTCCGACTAGGGTCCCTCTGATCACCATCGTGTGTCAATAACGATCCCTCAAATCTCCATCACCCAGCGACGATGGTCCCTCTGACCTTGATCGCTCGCCGACCACACTCCCTCCGACCACCGTCGCTCGCCAACTACGGGTCCATTAACCATATTTGCTCGCCGTCTACAATCTCTTTGATCTCAATTTCCAAAATATAGCCCTACCAACCAAATGAACAGACCAACATTCTCAAAATGACTCCCTTATCACTAGATTCTTCTAACCCCGCTATGTAATGTGCACTATATGATACATTGAGGCAATGCCTTCCCCCGAAAGGGCAACATTTGTAATCGACTACAAACACTAGAGACTTCATTTTAACTAAGTCAGACCCCATGGTTTTTCTCTTTTTCAGGATTTTCCATATAAAAATGTTGATGTCTTTTATGATTCTTAGAATCTCTCTCACATTATTTGTATGTGTGTTGGATATTTGTTCAAAGTCAAGACATTAAGTTCTCTATCTCTCTAACAAACATAATGAAACTACTCTCGCCATACTTATAGTGAACATAGTGGTTAATACAGGACTATGAGTACATGACTTTATGAATTAGAAAATATTTAAGAAAGAACGATGAAAGAATTTTTTTATCAAATTAATTAAGGCAATTATTTATCATGCAAATAATTTTAAAATAAAAAAAATTATGCATAAGAAATGAGCTTGTGATGCTATGACAGACCATGAGGATCAACTAAGGTTTAATTTGGGACGATATTTTTACTGTTTTCTTAAGCAATCATTTAGTAAAAAAATTTCTTAAACTAAAAAATATTATACTATAATTAAAAAAAATTGCTGCTTAAAAAAATAGTAAAAAAATCGTTCAAAATGAAGCATAAGAAGCTATTGTATGCTAAGAATATTGAAAGATATATTTATATTGAAGATATTTCAGAAATTGAATTTTATTTGGAAAGGAGTTCTACGGGTGTCCAAGTGTATTAATTTAGAAAAAAATTATATTTGAATATTCCGACTAATTCTATTATATTGAACTTAAGAAAATTGAAATGTAATAGATATTTAATGTATAAAAAATAAATTTAATATTTTAGGATTAAATAATTAAATATTTATAAATAATTAATACAATATTTTTTAAATATATGATAAAATTGATTTGCGATAAAATTTTGATGAGATAATCTGATCCAATTTTTTTCCGCACTGATTTAGATTTAGTGCGGAGGGTCGCATGCTCGCTTCTTTCTCTGTTCACCCGGCGCTGATGGCGGCGAGTACTGTCTCATTGGCGGCCGGGACTGTATTGGGCCGCCACAATCTGCTATCTTTGAAGACTGCTCAGAAGGCTTCTCGCTTCTACGTGATGGCTTCTTCTACAAATTCTACTGTTGCCGATCTTAAGGTTTTCGTCTCATCGGTCCTCTCATTCCTCTCTTTCATCGATTTAGTGACTTCTAGGTTTTGCAGATAAAGTCCATTCCTACGAAGCCAGTTGAAGGGCAGAAAACTGGGACGAGCGGTCTCAGGAAAAAGGTTTGAGGAGCTTCTCAATTTCTTGCTCTGTTGTTGGAGAGATTTTTTCACTGTCAAAATGACGAAGCAATCTAGTGTTTGTCTATTTCAATGTGGCTGCCTGCGATTCTAGGTCAAGGTTTTTCAACAGGAGAATTACTTGGCTAACTGGATACAGGTTTTATTTTTTTATTCTTTCTGCAGTTGGGGGTAACCGAGAGCGATAAAAAGGTGATGTTTATACGTGTCTTTCTTTTCCGATCACAGGCACTCTTCAACTCTTTGAACCCTGAGGACTTCAAGGATGGACTGCTGGTCCTTGGAGGCGATGGGCGGTATTTCAACCAGGAGGCTGCACAGGTATCATAATATTTCCTTGAGTTGCGCCTTTCTTTTGTTTCCTTTGAAACTTGTGATTATTTCAACCAGTGTGTTTATGCTTTTGTGATGCTTATGGAATACAGATCATCATAAAGATTGCCGCAGGCAATGGTGTTGGTAAGATTCTTGTGGGCAGGTAGGGACTTTGCTTCCATGGTGTATGTAATCCAAATTTATGCTTAATTTGGCATGTTTTACTTGTTCAATAGACTTAGTTATCTTATTATAACGTAGTAGGGTATTACTTGTGATTACTTGAATCCGGCAACAGCTTCTTTGTGCTACGTGCTATGGGTAAATAAATCAACCCCTACAGGGCTTCAATATCAGAATGGCAGAAGCCCTACTTTATCGTAAATTTTTAGACTATGTTGTTTGATTCATTTTGCCTAATGGTTTGTTTCTTGTGGGGGGAAAAATATTAGAATTGCTATTGCTGTATTCCAATGTAGGAAGATGCCATTGCCTTTGAAAGGTAATCTGATTTCTTTTTGATTTATATGGGGAAAGGTAGTAGAAGGTCCAAGACTTATCCTTTGATTTTTTCTGTGATGGATTGTATTTAGAACATGGAAGTAGAGAAACATCTGCTTATTACTATAATTAAGAAAAAATATTAACATTCTTATTCAGATTGACAGAATTCTCTCGTAGTGACATGATTGAATCTTTGTAACTATGAGTTGGTTACTTGGTTCTCTCCATGGGTTCATCTTGCACAATTTTTTATTTTCTGCTCCACATTATGGAGTTAGCTTCTGACGCAGGTGGTGATAGAGTCATTTCAAACCAAGGGATTTCATCAATACCAATTTTTTTTAAGAGATTTTTTTGATAGATTATAGATGGTCATCTGATAGGAAATACTTGAGATTAAGTATTTCCTATACGCCTCTGATGCAACTCTCCAAGCAAGTTGTTGTCCCGCACAGGAAAACAGTGAAAAATGGATGAACTGAGAGAAACGTAGGAATAGCAATTATTGTTTTCCATATAAGCCAAGAATCAAGTAGGAATCAATTTTCCTTCGATTCGAGAAGGAAGGAAAACTTCCAAATCTCTAGCCGTAGTTAAGAGCAGAACATAGAAGAACATAGATCTCAAGAAAAATTTCCATATGCAAGATAATCCCTTTTCCTCTCCTCTAATTAACCATAAAGGAGTTTTACAAAATGTCTAACGCCCTCGATTCAAAATTTCCTCCCAAAATCTCTTGGCCCGTCGAATGAGCCTTTCGAGTGCCGCTCGGTTCCCGCCCGCCGTGGTTTTTCCGCCTCGAGTTGTGTGGAGGTCGTTTGGACGGTCCAGCCGGCTCAGTGCCGGCTAACATTCTCCCCTCTCAAAATCCTTGTCCTCACGTGAAAGTCAGGGAACTGTTGCTGACCCACTATAGGGTCCCAAGTGTGTAGTCTGGAAGGCCGTCCACATAATCTCATCCTTTTCCCTTTCATTGTGGCGCATATCTTCCACCGTAAGCTCAAATGTCACTTCCATGTCCGCCCTCAGATGTGCTGGGCAGTCTGGTCACTGCATGTCCCACATCTCTCATTGTGAGACTGAGAAACGAAGGTGTATTCTGGCTGTTGGAGGACCTCAATTCCTATCGGCACCACTCCATTCTCTCTACTCAAAAGGCCAAATACTTCTGCAAGCTTCTCATGTCTTCTGTTGGGCCATAGTCCTCTGCCGGTATGGTCGGCAGCTTTCAAGTGACTTACTCCAATGCAACTGTTAATATTCTCTTTTGCGCGTCCGCGCTGCTTTTCATAAGTTGCTGGGCTCTTAGTAAATGCTCTTGAGCTCCCCACATGATCTCTTTCTCTTTCAATATGCTTGTCCCTGGCAGATACTCGGAAGGGGGTACTTAACTATAGCTGTAGTGGTAACCAAATGTGGGGGGTCTCTCCATATAATACCTTAAAGGTGCATCTTGGTAGCCGAGGTGAAAGAGAGGTATTCATACCAGTATTCTGGCCCAAAGCTATGTCATCTGCCCACTGCTTTGGTGTTCAGACACAAAGACAACTCAAGTATGTCTCGCAAGCTCCTATCACACACCTCCGTCTGCCATACAGGTCTGTGGATTGGTAGGACTGTGCTCCTCTTTCAATACTGTCTCCCATGCATCCTAAAATAGCTCCCTCCAAAAATGCTCAGGAACACCTTGTCCCTATCAGAGAATGGACTATAGTATCCATGCAGGCGGAACTTCTCCCTTCATAAAGCTGCTGCTACAGACACGCCTGTGTAGGGTTTCAAGGGAATGAAATGAGCATATTTGTCTCAGCCTGTCGACTCACTCAAGTATAGCTGTGTAGCCTTCATGATTTTGGGGAGCCCGTCAAATGAAATCATAGTAATACTCTCTCCCAACCTTCTTGGATAGGGCAGAGGCTGTAAGTAATGCCTCTGGTGCCATCGTTCAGGTACATTGATCCGCTGGCAGATAATCACATCTTCGCACATCTCCTCTAGCATATTTCCTCATCCTTCCAGTACAAAATTCAGCGTTTCTACTGGCTATAAGTTTTTTGACTCCTGATCCTCGCCTATGGCCTCCATGAAACTCCGTAGCAGCTGGGGAATGTGGCATGGAAGACCTTGGAATCACACTTCACTTCCTGATAGTACATTCTTCCACAACTGGTAGCCCCTGGGTGGATGTGTTCCATTGATAACAATTCTTTGATTTTCTTAGCTCTCATTCTGAATGCTCTCATCTTTGATGCTCCCTCTATCAGTAATTGGATTGATACGCATCGCCTTGGAGCTCTCCAAAGCGTGAGAGGCATCCGCTCCGTTATTCTCTAGTCCGGTGGTAGATGGATCTCAATCATGTCCAGCAGCTTGGCAACACCATCTGGTGCTCTTACTTGTAACATCCTACTGTATATTACAGTACTTCATGCTCATCTGATGCAGTATGACAATAAGTGTCTGCCTAATAATAGGTCTCCACATTCTGGATGCCCAGTACAATAAGCCATCAGCTTCTCTCGTAGAAAAGACTTCAGCCTACCGGGACGAAATAGTACTGACTGAAGTAATTTATGGGCCTGTGGTTTCTGACATCAACACTGCCCGAAATCCATAACATGAAGCATCTGTCTGCCACACAAACCTGGTTGAAGTCCGGCAGAGAAAGCACTGGATGTACGTCATGGACCTTCTTTAGCTTCCAAAAGCCTCTGAAGCTGATTCTCCCATAAAAAGTTGTCTTACTTCAACTCTGCTCTGTCAGTGGCCATGCTATGGTGGCTCGTATCCCTTACGAACCTCCTTATAGCCTGTAATCAAAGAATCCTCTGAGCCCTTCACAGATGCTTGGGTTGAGGCCATGCCATGCCTCTATTTGGACTGATTCTGCATGCAGCTCACCTCCATGGGATATCAGTATGCCCCAGGTACTGCACACCCGTGCTGAGCGAAGTCAACTTTTTGAAGTTGCGCTTACAAGCTGATGCTACCTCAGCACTCCAACATACTCTCAGGTGCTTAGGTGTTTTATCCTCAGTCTGCTTATAAGAGTTAGAATATGCCATAAAAAATTACGAACACAAACCTGCGGCGGTGTGGATTGAAGATGCGGTTCATAAGGCCTGGAAATTGTGGGGTGCGTTGGTGAGGCCAAAGGCATCACCAGAACTCGTCAGGGTCATAAGTCCATGAAGGCGTCTTCTGCACATTTCCTTCCCGATCCTGATTTCTGGTGAGTAGCCTGACCTCAGATCGCCTGGATGACAAGGCTGCTCATGTGCTTCACATACTCGTCAATCACTAGGATAGAACTTAATCAGGCACAGTCTCCTTGTTGAGAGCTATATCTAACACAGACTCCACTCCATCCTTCTTTTTTCAAAGCATAATGGACTAGAGCAAAGGGCTCACACTGGCGAATGGATCCCTCTAACATTTCTCCACCAGCTTTCTAATCTCATCTTTTCTGTACTGAGGGTAACTATAGGCCTTCACATCAGATAGGGATACTCCCTCTTTTCAGGATAATCTGGTGCCTGCTCCTCTGTCAGGTGGTAGTCACCGAAGGTTGAACGACATCTCAAATTCACTGCATGAAGAGGCTGAACCAATGGGAATGAGCTTTTTCTCTCCTCCTCCTCTCCTTGCTCCTCAGGCTCTGCAGCTCACAAAGGAATACTCTCCTTCTCTGATAATTTCGCCATTGATCTGAGTGACACCCAGCTGGATAATCCTGGTTCCCTTTAGTTCACTCTCCCTCTACAATCAGCTCCATCAACATGGCCCCCAGTTCACCTTGGTTTCAACAGGTCTATAGCCACTTCATGCCGAGAATGAAATTGTGCTACATCAATCAGGGTAGGTGAGATCTCTATCCACTCGATCTCTGTAGCTTCTTCCTACCCTTGTGCAGATCCGGTGCAGGACTCAATCTTTATGTCTCCATCATCATATCCCTAATGCCTGTTTCATAGGCTCATCCCTAGCTCTCCGCCACATGGGATGGATATGAATGTGGTTGCCCACTGTCATCAGGACCACTATCTCTCAAGGATATTCCTTAATTCATCGTATGGTTAGAGTAAATCCCAAAAGAATGAGGGAGACTCGCCTACTCATGGGGATAATCTGCTCCTCATTCAGAATCATCACACTCTCAGGCGCATCGTCTATATAGAGGTGAGAGCCCGAAGGGCGCGATCCTTGCACCTGTGCCTGGAACAACTTCTCGCTCACATCTGAAACAAAGCTTGCCCTCTCTCAGCCTGCATCTCTTCACTCAGTCAATTTCTTGAAGCTTCCAGCAGACTGGTCACCCTCGTCTTCTCCTTTCCACTCTCCCTAGGGAGCTAGGACTTGGTCCTTTTGGAGCAGGGGAGGGGGGGGTGAGTAAGTGGTGGTTGTTCTGGTGGGCCCTCCTGAGTGCGTGTTCTCCAAGTTCGGGCGTTGGTCTTAGGTTATCTCCACAGTTGAGCTAACTCATTGCTCCCTAAGTCTCTTGGTCTATGATTCACCGCATTCTATTTCCTAGTTTGAAGGGCATTCATAAATTTCCTTCCCCAAAGCACTGTTGTGAGGCCCTCCATTGTCTCCACTAACTCTCAATTTCTTCCTGTATCCTCACTGTTCCCTCTTGAGTGAGGGCGTGAAACTGTTACTGATATCTCCATGAGCTGCTCCCTTGAATCTCATCCCTGATAGCCTCCTTGAAGTCCCCCAGACTCACCGGTTCCTACTGTATCCATGTACTATGAACCAGGCAA